CAGATTCCCCTTTACTACTTGAGCAAAATGCTCTGCATTTTAGCAGTTCCTGTGACCCTGGCAGTAAAGTTGTCTGTCAGGATTCTATCACCTCTTGTTTCACACCAAGTTTGTTTCCTTTTTGTACATTTCTGGTAAAATATCATTTACTCTTAAGGCTAACAAGAAAACACTAGATATGCTTCCTGATATTCATCAGCTTAAAGCTAAGATACCCCAATTCTAATGTTACACATTGGACCTGCAATTAGAACGTGAGTTCCTCCACACCACATATTGCAAGTCTGGGTTTATTTTTTGCAAGACGAAAAGATAGATTTGTACATCTGAATTTTTTTTAGTTTTTTGTTTTCTGAAATTTGGGTATGCTGGCAAGGTGTTGCAGAAAGTTTACATTGATATAGTTCTCCTTAAAAGAAGATTTGAAAGTCTAGTCACTATCGTGGTTTATATGGAAACTTCCAAGAACATTTACTTCTTTCATAATCCTTTCTTTCCTCAGTGATACAACTGTATATAGTAGATCCTTGTGAATATGTCATACATTTCTGTTGATTGCCTTTTTTTTTTTAACCTACATATGTAACTGTTTTGGCTGCTGAAATCTACGACTTTGGCGGTCATATTTTTGTAGGAAAAGAATTGTTTTAGGGTAACAGTTCATTGCTTCCACAAGCCTTCTCTTCCCCCTTACAAAAAGTAACCTTTCAAATAGCAAAGGCATGGAAGAGGAGTGACACTTATTCCCAGGTATTTTCTGAATAAATATCTCAAGAAAGAACATGTAAAATCAAGCAGTGTAAGAAGAGCAATAGCCATAGAACAGTTTGGTAGTTCATAAAGGAAGAATTCCCAATTTTCCTCAAACTCCTGTCGAACACAGCTGTTCACTAGTCTTATCTACAGTTGGCCTCTACCCTGATGAAAACCATGTAATATTTAAATAAAACAGGTTTCATATCAGACTTCAAATCTGATAGCCTAAAAACAGGTTTATAAAATCCCCCTTTTTTATATTATTCTTTTTTGTGTTTCACCATTTCAGCCAAATCTTTTATCTACCTTTCTTATCCTACTTTCACCTGTGAAGAATAATTTCTGAAATTTCATTTAAGAGAGAGTTTTGAGCAGCATGCGTGTTTCTGAGACAAATTCTAGTGGTGACATTTTATAATGAAAAGTTAATCCCAGTCCCACCAACGTTTTATACTTTCTAAATAGACTGATTATATTATATTTATCATAAAGGATTTCAAAACCTTTTTTCTTGCATTACTAAGTGTCAAAATTGGAACATTTCAAATGTCACTAAGCTATTACCCTAAGGAGTTATAATAATACATAGTTAATGACTAGAGTAAGTAAAAAGGTCCCTGCTGAAAGACTGAGAGAAGAGTTAGCAATAAAGTGTAGTAGTTAGGAATACTCTAAAGAGACACTCCAAGAGTCAAACTTATGTTTTTATAAAGCAGGAAGTATCCTCACCGTGGCAAAACCTGGCCTGTAATTTAAGTTTTTTAAGACTAGCATTGTTTCCCTATGATATTGTTGGAAAGCACACCAATAAATCATGCAGTAGAAATCTGTCTTCAGCACCTGAGAACTGCCAAAATTTTGTCTGGCTGTTAGAGCCAGTGGAAGTACATGTTGTTCCAAAAATACATATAATTTTGGTTGAGATTTATTGGTTGGCTTAAATGTGGTGAACCAAACCAAAGTGAAAAACTGAGATGGAAACATGAGCATAAGAATTTTTTTGATGGTAAGCTTTTCTGATGTAAATATAGTTTAAATACTCGATGTAAAATATCTTATAAGCAAACTACTAGCAACTGGAACAATCTGGTAAAACCCCATCTCCTGAGACCAGGGACCACGCATCATCAGTGGTATAAAGAAGGATTCATTACATCTGGATGCTAACTTTTAAATAAATGTAATGAGGGCTCTCTTCTTAAATTAATAGACAATCATTACAAATTATCAAAAATAGAAATTTCAAATAATTTTATAATAAGATGTATAACACAATAAGGAATTTAGGTGCCTTTCAAACAACTTTAGGTTTCTAGTCCTGTAATGTCCTACTACTAATTGAAGCTTAGTTTTCATGTACTTATTGTGCAATTAAAGGACTTTTCCCCCCCTTCTTCTTTTTACTGTTTTTGCCTACCATATAAAGAAAATCAAGCTACTTTGAAAAGTGAGTTACAATGTAAGGAAAATTGATAAAGTAGCATAAAAGATCAGGGGTACAAAGCAAAGCGGAAATTTGCTCCTGTACAAAGTACAGCTGTCAGGTCTAAAGATCAGGTTTGAAGCTGGAATTTCTAAATTAGGACATTCAGTTGTTCTCTTCTTCCTTCACTAAAAGAGCTGAGCCTAAAAAAATTTTCTCTGTTTGCACTGGGAAGACTAAGCAGACATTGTTGCTCTTTGGCATTTCAAAAACAGGACTTGAAATGGCTGCCAATTTTTCTTATTTTGGCTCTGCTTAACAATTCCTGTACTAAAAGAAAGCACAACCCCTCAAGCACAACAGATCCTCATTTCTTTCAGTTGTAATTTTTTTAAATTGGGTCTTTTTGACTCAAAAAAGCAGTCTTAAACTTTAGGATATTATGCTGCAAAACATGAAGATTATATCTAAAATTGTAAAGATAAGGAAATTGAGAGGATATATATATAAATGTCCCTTCCATTGGCAAGAAAGTCTAGAATACAGGCTCTCTATGTTACTTCTGCTTTTAATGTGGAATTATTCTGCACTCTTTAGTTAACTACTTATCATAAATGAGACAATTTTTCAACATCACGTTACAGTTGTGTTCATTTCTATGTCAACCATCTTCAATTATTTTAATAACATGTGGAAAATGTCTTTTCCCAGGAGAGAAAAGAGGGAGAGGAAAGAAGACTTGACTGATCAATTTCTAATATTACAGTAGAGCTTTCTTCCTTTTTATGTATCAAAAGAAAAAGAGAAAAATCACTACTGGGGTAACTTCATCCACTGCTTGCTTTTTTTCAGAAAGGAAAACTAGCTAGACAAATAAAAGAGGATATAGCTCTAATAGAAATACGTCATAACATTTTATCACTTTAAAAATGTAAACATAACATCAAGAATTATCTGATTGCAGTAAAGGATTTACCTACAAACATGATGGCCATTCTACTTTCTAGATATTTTTATAGATTGATATAGTTGGATATTGACGGATACATAGAATACTCTCAACTGCTTGAGACTGTACAGAAATAATTTGAACATGTGACAACATTTTATCCACACATATGATTCCTCAAATTAAAAGCTTCCACTCAGATTTTCAAAATGAAACAGAAAGATGACAACATAAAATAGCAAAAACTTGAGATGACTTTCTGCAAGCAGGGTGATCCTGTTAGTTCTGCACTTTATTGATGAATAATACTATAGAATGGAAGAAGTTCACATGTCATAAGAGATCAACACTGAGCAAGAGAAATGGAAATCTCTAATAACACAAGCAAACACAATTCATAATTGTAATAGGCTTGTTTTAAAAATAACAAAAAGCTCCCAACCTGAAGCAAATGTTATTTGTTCAAGAAATCACACAGCGCTCCAGTGCTGCTGGTTTAACTTCATTCTCATAGTAAATCTCATAATTATTTCTTTTTTAGGTAAAATACCTAAGCATTCATAAACATATTTCAATTAATTATATTTCCAAAAAGAAAACCTTTCATATACATTGTGTCTTGCAATGAATTAAAATCTTAGAGACAGATTAAATATGCTCCTTATGTACAATAATTTTCTGGAAGTATAGGAAAAAGTACTTTTTCAAAGTAAATAGTAGAAACCATTGCTAGTGAGTAACAAATATAAAAATAGCATGGGACAGATATATTTTAGGTTGAACTTAAAAGACTGCAATATAGGATAACTTCATAATATTATTTTAATTAATGGGCTCTAGTTTTAACATGTTCCTTACTATGGAGGTAGAAGAATTTAGGTAACCACCTAGAAGACCTACTTTAATGTTGTTTGGCAAGATAGAAGCCATAACGTTAGTACACCTACTCTTCCCACGCATGGCTCATAAAAGATGTGGTCAAGCCCAAATTAAATTTGCAAGTCTAATGATTAATAATATATATTTACTTAGGCATTCCTTATTTTCTCCCCAAAAAACAAATTACTGATCATTTTCACAAGTGCTGCTCAATGCAGTGATGCTTGAACCATCTTGTCACTAACAAAAAAACCCCAAAAAAA